GCATGGCCTGAAATATTTTAAATCAGTGCTGAAATCAAATTATATTGATGCTATTTCCATCTCCCACTTTCTCCATCCAACAGCTTTCTGTTTAGTGATCTGCGTGGGGTATGTCTTGCACAGCATACATAGGGATTGGCTCTAGTCACACCCATAGTATACACTCGTATACACTTGTCACTAGTCACTAAGGCAACAGTAAATTATGAGCCCAAGGTCATCAACCATCTGTGACCAGCCAACTAAACAACTCCACAATAACTACTTGTATATGTGTGTGTGTGTGTGTGAGAGAGAGAGATGCCTTATTATGACTACTCACATCTAATCTGCTTTTTTATGGGCTTGGCTGCATCCAACCATTGCTGAAAACATAAGGAAATGTGAAGAACAAGAGAGCAGAAAACAGCATGGGAGGATTGGGGGAGACAGTGGGAGGGAGGGAGAGGGAACAAGACAAAGAGTTTGTTATTAGTCTGAGTGCTGAGAAAAAGAAAATCCTGTTGTTCTGATTGATGTTGAGCGGCTGTTTCACACTGACACTCTCCATTTCTCATTTCTGGTCTAAGAGCTGCAGCTTATAGAAAAACAGGTCACTGCCACACGCACACACACACACACACACACACACACACGTGCACGGACGCTCATAAAGTGCCACTCACCGCAACCTGCTCTGGGTCCATGAACTGCAGACCGAAGTAATCAGCCTCCACCAGATCCAAATGATACATAATCTGATCAAACAGATCCTGTCCCTTGGAGTGTTTCTGAAACACACATTTAAAGCACAGATAAATCACGAAGTGTGGAAAGCTCGGGGCGTCACACTGATCTTTTGACAGTTTAAGGGGACGTTGGAAGCAAGAAGTTACTCCAGTGTGCCTGCAGGGCTTGATGGCCCTGATTAGCCACAGCGATGTACATGCTACATTGATTTTCATATGCACTCACTACGGCTGAGTGATATAGCTTAAAATATCTCCGAATCCATCTCAACTAATTTTAGTCTTTTGATAATGTTTTTCTTTCAATCAGAAGAACTATATATTTTTATATTTATATACAATAAAAATCTAGTTAAGCATAAACAGATAAAATAAATACAATTTCAAATTGTTCATTTTAAATGAACACAAAGAAGAATATGAGATCATTTTCATAGTTACCAATATACACAACTTCCAGAATCAGTAAGATTTTTCTATGGAACAAAATTTATATTTATATTTAGCAAGAATGCATTAAATTTATACAAAAGTGACGGTAAAAAACATTAATAATCCTGAAGAATACTGAAATAAAAATGTTAAATATTAAGCAGCTAAACTATTTTCTACACTGATGATACTAAGAAATGTTGTTTTTGAGCACCAAATCAGCACGTGTTCTAATATTTCACAATATTACTATTTATACTGTACTGTTCTTTATTTAGCCAAATAAAAAGTGCTTCAGAACTGTTGCAATATTCATGCTTAATTTTTAAATGGCCAGCAAAATCATTTCAAATATATTGTAAGTATTCCATATTTTGTCCTAAACCTAGTCTTATTACAAAACCATTTGATGGATAATAACAATCCCAGAGCACCTTCAAAGGCAAAAGAGAGATCAAAAGTCTCTATTATCTATTTCATGCTGGGTCTAGATGAGGGGGACCACAAAAGCACACACATAGGAAAAACTCTATCAACTATTCTGGAGATAACCTCTGTTTTGTGATGGTCAGTTTATTTTCAAGGCCAGCATTCCACTGAGATCCAAAACTCTCAGCGAATGCAAAGAATTTGGAATTTAGCTATTGATTTGTTCCATTTTACGGAGCTTGATTGATTTCTTTTGTTGGTTCGAGGATGTTGTGAGGCGAAGGAGGGAGCACGTGACGAGAATAGGCCATGGAAATGGCAGGAGCTCCCTGTTATGATGAGCATGAGGAGAAGTATTCCCTGAGTGGAACTCAGCCAATCACAATGCACGGTATCGTGAATCAGCATCTCTACAGAGTAAAAAAAAATTAGTCAATTATGGTATTGCCTGGAAATGCAACATTATTTTGGAGTTCCCCCAAGTCAAATGTTAAATAAGCTACTAATAAAAGTGGCCTCCAATTTTCCAAGCCATTTTTTTAGTTGCGCTACGATTCAAAAGTTGGGGGCCTGTAAGATTTTTATTTTATTTTTTTTCCCCAAAGAAATTAATATTTATTTTCACAAAGGATGCATTAAATTGATCAAGAGTGACAGTAAACTACAAAACTTTGTAGTTTTGTTACAAAACTTTGTTACAAAAGCTTTCTATTTGAAATAACTGTTGTTCTTTTGAACGTTCTATTCCTTAAAGAAATGTCACAGTTTTCACAAAATATTAAGCAGCACAACTGTTTACAACAGTGATAATATTAAGAAATATTTCTTCAGCACCAACTCAGCTTATTAGAATGATTTCTAAAGGATCATGTGGCACTGAAGACTGGAGTAATGATGCTGAAAATGCAGCTTTGCCTTCAGGAATAAATTACATTTTATTCAACCTCTTAGTTTTAATAACTTTTTGTAACATGTTTTGCCAAAAAAGTGTGCTTAAATGCCACTAGGATTTATTTAATCTTGTTATGTAATGCAGTGACAAGTGTACCTTAAGTGTCCAAATACTTTTTTTGAGCCATTGTATAAGATTGATACTATATGCTGTAAAACTTAAAAAATGTCAATTGTAAAACCAAGTCCAGCTGCCTTGCCTGAACATTCTGAATACTACAATACAATACAATACAAACCTGAAGGATTTACAGATAATGTACTTATTGTCTTTCAATTGAAAGTACTTGTCTATTGTGCTTGATATATGATTGATAAAGGCTCTACACCTTGACATTTATAAGAGTGCCACAAGGCGCACACACACAGACGTAATCTAAAAGAAAATGCACACACATACTGTATATATGTTGCACACAAACCAAGGCCGGAGCAAAAATAGCTTGAAGTGTCAGAGGAGAGTGGCTGGATTTGGGACACACCCTGAGGGGGGGGTGGTGGCTATTATTCTCTTTGATACTTGCTGCTGTTCAGGTTGACCTACAACCCTTAACATACATAAATCAACATATATTTCAGAGCTATTCTCTGCCATTAAGAATGGTCAAATCAAAAGAAATGTATAATTTGTTACACTGAAGTACTGACACACGAAAGGCCTTTTATAAATTCTTCGACATGTTCAGACTTGTATAGCACAACATTGCCCGACTATGACAGCCATATTTATAAACCAACAATCAGCAAAACGATGTCTTTGAAATATAAAACAATAATATGACGTGCACCACAAGCTTCAGGTGTTTACAGGGCTTATATTGAAAAGAAGGAAATATTCACAATTAAACATAATTGTATAACAGTTCTAGTCTTCTAACTTGATTGGCCCAGTGACGTTCCAAGATTGCTAATATTCTTTGACATACTTTTGTATAATTTTCATACAGGCGTTCTAGACTAGATCATGTGAGCGGTGTGGAAGCATATTTTGCCTGAAGAACAGGTTTTTGACAGCAGGAGTGCCTGTATTTTTTGTTTTGCTTCATGATCGCTCAAAGCGGGTTTCTCACCAGCGAGGAAATAAAAAACATGGAGTGGTGCTAGAGTCGAGTGATTACAGAACACTTTGAACAGGGAGAATAAAACCAGAAATGTACTTTTCGCAAGTAAACAAAACACAGAGGCAAGCGCTTTTTCGTTAGACTGGAGGTAACGTTTGGGTTAGATTTACATTTTTACATTTTTAATGGTCCTGAAGTATGTACTTAAATTCAAGAGAAGTACCTATTCAGAGAGTATGTTATTTCAGACGCAGCCAATGTTTTTGGTCTAAAAACCTGTCATCTCTTCTCCATACACTGTACTGAGAACTTTATCACTCGATCACAATTACGATGAGCATAGATGTCGGTTTTAGTTAGCCAACATAATAGCATAGCACAGGGCTGTCCAAACTCAGTCCTGGGCAGAGTGTGTCCTGCAGAGTTTAGCTCCAACCCTAATTAAACACACCTGAACCAGCTAATCAAGCTCTTACTAGGCATAGAAACTTCCAGTCAGGTGTTGAGGCAAGTTGGAGCTAAACTCTGCAGGACACCGGCCCTCCAGGACCGAGTTTGGACAGCCCTGGATAGCATATAGATGCCCAAGTAACCTAATAGCTTATACACTACACATATGTGCTTATTCTACATGTATTCACGTTAACACATGCATGTTAAATGTCCAAATGATTCAGTTCTTAAAAAGACGATGTAACAATGTTCCATTATTTGTTAATTATTATTTATCAATTTATTAAGTGAAGGAAATTACATTGTCCAACGGAATTATTTTATTAATCATTATATAGATATTCTAAATTAAAACATTAATACATTTCTTTGTACTTGGAGACACAAATTCGAGGAAAGATCCACATTCCCAAGACAGGCTTTTTGTCTGTTGCTTGGTGACAGGTAGAGCTTAATGTAACGTAATATTACTTGGATATAACTCAAATTCACAAAATTATGCTCCAAGTAGCAGGCACAGTGTTAAAAAGAGATTCCGCAGTGCACGATAGTTACAAACAGATGAACTGTCAGAAAGTGATCGACATTTCAAGGCGCGACTTGCAAGAGTGGGACCAAAGGTTAAGCGCTTAACTGGTTCGTCGACCTCAGGGAACAAATGGGAATTTATTTCTGGAAAACACTTTGATAGAGAGAAGGGGAGGAAGAATGGGAAACTCCTTGTGTGTTTTTCTCCCTGGATGTTTCATTTTCAGTGAAAGCTCCCAGTGCTCGAGGGAATCTGCAGGTTTGTGTGTGACAGGTTGTAAACATGAGGACGGGAGCACGAGCTCCATCTGTTTACCTCTCAACTACCGGGACAGGACCCAACACCGGGGAAATCCGGCCAGTGACAGGCTGTTAAAACCCAACTTTGCCGTTAAACACTACATTCAAAACAATCAAGGTGACTTTTCTCTGACGAAAAGTCCTCCACTCACCGGTAGCTCCACACTGACATCCGATCCGTCCAGCAGCAGGACTCTGCATGTGATGGCGTCTTTGCTGTTGCCCGCGGCGGGGATGTGGACTACGGCTCCCCCGGTCACTACGATCGGCGCGTGAATCACCTGCTGCTGGTGCGCCTGAAGCACTGCGTTTCCGCCTCTGCCGGTCCCGTCCAGCTCATCTGACGTCCGAAAGCGTCGTTTTGACCGACGGCTAAACGTCCTGCGCAGAAAGCCCATCATCTTTCCCCCGCGAGACGGCGCTTTAATCAACCAGGGAATAATAGCATAGCACAGGGCTGTCCAAACTCGGTGTCCTGCAGAGTTTAGCTCCAACCCTAATTAAACACACCTGAACCAGCTAATCAAGCTCTTACTAGGCATAGAAACTTCCAGTCAGGTGTTGAGGCAAGTTGGAGCTAAACTCTGCAGGACACCGGCCCTCCAGGACCGAGTTTGGACAGCCCTGGATAGCATATAGATGCCCAAGTAACCTAATAGCTTATACACTACACATATGTGCTTATTCTACATGTATTCACGTTAACACATGCATGTTAAATGTCCAAATGATTCAGTTCTTAAAAAGACGATGTAACAATGTTCCATTATTTGTTAATTATTATTTATCAATTTATTAAGTGAAGGAAATTACATTGTCCAACGGAATTATTTTATTAATCATTATATAGATATTCTAAATTAAAACATTAATACATTTCTTTGTACTTGGAGACACAAATTCGAGGAAAGATCCACATTCCCAAGACAGGCTTTTTGTCTGTTGCTTGGTGACAGGTAGAGCTTAATGTAACGTAATATTACTTGGATATAACTCAAATTCACAAAATTATGCTCCAAGTAGCAGGCACAGTGTTAAAAAGAGATTCCGCAGTGCACGATAGTTACAAACAGATGAACTGTCAGAAAGTGATCGACATTTCAAGGCGCGACTTGCAAGAGTGGGACCAAAGGTTAAGCGCTTAACTGGTTCGTCGACCTCAGGGAACAAATGGGAATTTATTTCTGGAAAACACTTTGATAGAGAGAAGGGGAGGAAGAATGGGAAACTCCTTGTGTGTTTTTCTCCCTGGATGTTTCATTTTCAGTGAAAGCTCCCAGTGCTCGAGGGAATCTGCAGGTTTGTGTGTGACAGGTTGTAAACATGAGGACGGGAGCACGAGCTCCATCTGTTTACCTCTCAACTACCGGGACAGGACCCAACACCGGGGAAATCCGGCCAGTGACAGGCTGTTAAAACCCAACTTTGCCGTTAAACACTACATTCAAAACAATCAAGGTGACTTTTCTCTGACGAAAAGTCCTCCACTCACCGGTAGCTCCACACTGACATCCGATCCGTCCAGCAGCAGGACTCTGCATGTGATGGCGTCTTTGCTGTTGCCCGCGGCGGGGATGTGGACTACGGCTCCCCCGGTCACTACGATCGGCGCGTGAATCACCTGCTGCTGGTGCGCCTGAAGCACTGCGTTTCCGCCTCTGCCGGTCCCGTCCAGCTCATCTGACGTCCGAAAGCGTCGTTTTGACCGACGGCTAAACGTCCTGCGCAGAAAGCCCATCATCTTTCCCCCGCGAGACGGCGCTTTAATCAACCAGGGAAAACGGCACCGATACCGGACTGCTCAAGAGGAAGGCATCCAGCTGTTTTTTCAGGCTTTCCGCGACGAAGAAAGGCGGCGTCTACCGGACTGAGCCGTTCAATGCAGCGGGAACAAGTCGGGATACGGCGACCTGTCACGAGCTCCGTTTCCTCGTGGCGTACGGGCTAGAAAACACGCGCGCACCTGCCAGAAGCCACGAGAATATACTCCAGTCCTTTCAATTTCTTCGTTTGAATAAAGTATTTGCGCTTTAATTGAACTTCTCCTCGCGCTCGCCGGAGTCCAGGCTCGGCTGAATGACGGCGCGTTAGTTCCTTTCGGTTACTGACCGAAACCGATGTACCTCTCAGGTAAGTCAACCAGAGGAACTGGCCAGGCAACCTGTTCTGCGCAAGCGTTAAATCTCAGAGCAACACTCTCCAAACTTTTTTCCCCCCTCTTCGGGTCAGTGTGCGCGAGGCAGCGCTACCTGCTGGTAAGCGAAACAGTGATCAATGTGAGGTTACCTTCACGCGAGCCACCATCACTGAATTCCCCAGCAACGACTACAAATCAAGCAGCCTTCATACTGTGCGGT